CAGGATCGTCTACTACTAAAAATTGAACTAACCTATCAGATATTCAGATAAAGGACCGTTGGCTGGAGGTGACCTACAACCAAGTTTAATTAGGTCGTCTGTCTTTCTTGTGGATAAATGTCCTGCTCTGCGCCCCTCCCTATTACATAAGAACACATTTTTTACCTCAACTGGCGAGAAGTAGGTGTTACACTTACATTTCATAATGAGTAGATACTTCTGTCAGTTCCTTGCTACGTAAATAGGTCATCTGTCCAACTTGTAGGCGGACGTAATGAGCTGCATCCCTCTCTAATTTAAATGAGGCTATCATTCATTACATACCATGATCAATTACTTAAACGCTACTCAATTTTAAAAGGCTCTCAAGAATAGTTCTGTTGCATCAAATCTTTGTAGAATGACAGAGATAGCACGATATCACTACATAGTATAAAACAAAGTCGCTATCCGTCGTCTGTCTGTCCCTATGTATGCTTTGATCTTTAAACCTACGCAACGGATTTTGATGCGGTTTTTTTTAATAGATAGAGTGATTCTTAAGGAGGAATATTGCATTGCAACATGCATAATATTAGTAGAGAAACACTGATAAAAATTTGAGGTTTCTAATCTGATGTCGTAAATTATAAACATTGCACCCGTGCGAAGCCGGGCCGGGTCGCTAGTTTAAGAACAATTTAAAGTTGAGCTGCAGTAGAGTTTCAGTATTCGGGTGTTATTAGCGCAAAATAGATATAAAATTTCATAACCTGCACTAGTATATTCCCCTTTGGGAAATAAAATGTATGACTTTTATATTGTTACTCAGTTTATAGGTCATTCGTGTTCTAGTGCCTAGTGCATAGGATCACGCGTGTGACCTAGATAAGGTTAGGGCCGCTAGGTACCTACACAAGGCGTTAGAATTGCAATATATGGATATTTCTTGACTGCTATTACGTTTAAGGACAATGCATGTTTTGGATTTAATGTATAACATTGTCTTTGATTAATTGATTATTATAGGGAGTTTTAGTAAGGCGGGTATGTATTCATTATAAATTCTACTAAAGTGTGGCTTAGCAGATTAAATGGGAATTTTTAATACCATTTATGTACACCATAGAAAATAACAAAGGACAACACATTACAGTCATAAGGTACATAGGTACTGCATATTCCTAAAGGAATTTCTTCCTGCAGACCTGCGACAGGAAAAGTCATAATAACATGTAAATAGATAAATACAAAGCAATTAAAACAAAATTGGAAACTAATAATAATCACTACATAGTATAAAACAAAGTCGCTATCCGCCGTCTGTCTGTTCCTATGTGTGATTAGATCTTTGAAACTACGCAACGGATTTAGATGCGGTTTTTTTAAATAGATAGAGTGATTCTTAAGGAAGGTTTATATGTTTAATTATAAGCATATTGCACCCGTGCGAAGCCGGGGCAGGTCGCTAGTTATTTATAAACAACGATTAAAAAGTATCGGCTTCAATCCCTCTTTTTTTTGAAGTCGGTTAATTAATATACTAAAAGACAATATTGTTATGTAGACATCTACAGTTTAATGTTAAGTATGTAGGTATCTAATTAGTTAAAAGTCGCAGGTGAGAGTTCATGACAATAGTAGCAGTAGCGTATGATCAAATTAACGTCCTTCGGGCGAATGCCGGTCACGCGCGCACAGGCAGGGACGAACATCCCGGGCGCGCGGGCGGGGTGTGTTGCCGCGAACCAATCACGGCGGGCTGGCGCGTCGCACGATTAGTTGACCGATCTCTCTCAATACTAAAAGGAGAAGGCCTTAGTGTAACAAAGACTTTTCTGAAAACAGCATCGAAAACGAACCGCGTGATAATGGCACACAAACATATCTACATAAATACATTACTATACGTAAAAAAGAAGGCTACTTATTTTGAACCCGGTTAAAAATCGAATTGTAGTTAGGGGTACCAAAATTTTGTATAACCAAAAGCTCTTCTTAGAACTACAATCTGCGGTTCACACGTTCCTGTGGGAGATTTCGAGCGCTCGAGATCCTTTTTTTAGGTGGGAATATCATTGAATGACTGCTCGCGCCTTGGTGAGGCGGGAGGGAGTGTCAGACTCTTACTGACTAAAAACCACCCCGTTCCTTCTCCTGCACGTCGAGCCGCAGCCCTGGCAACACGTTAAGTCCTCAGCGGTTCCGTAGCGTTCGAGAGCCTACGACTCAATCCACACACAGCCACTACTTACCTCACCTTTGTATGTCTTGCATCGGTACTCAGCAATGGGGTTTCCCTTATGGAAGTTTTAAGAGTTCCTTAATATATTATTTGTTATGGAAAACTTAGTACATTGACTGAAATAACAGCATGACTGTTAGTTGAGTCAAACTTTGAGTAAGTACATTTCATGATGCACGTAGTTCTACAGACCTAACTTATGTACCCATGCCTAGGTAGGTACAAACATACCTAGGCATTGATATGGAATTTTGTGACGCATAAAATATTCCAATAGTTTTCCTCAATGAGGCTGAGGCTAACTGGCCTACTTTTTACCAGGATTTAGATATTTTAAATGCTTGCATAAAGAAACATATTCCTGGTGACTACAACTGATTAACAACTAAATAGTAGTATAATTTGTCAACTTCAACTCATGTCGAAATAAACCCATGATAGATGAACAGGTAAAATGCAGGCTTATAAATTGCTTTCTTGCACGATGTTGTGGGTACAATGTCCTAAACAGCGAAATAGGTCACAAATCAACCAATTTTCTTCTAAACAAACAATAAAACAGACCTATTTGTATCAATACAAATTGTGGGCGTGGTGCATTAATGTATCCAGTATAAACTGGCCTCTGATTACATAGGACCTTCTCCAGGCCAGGGTTATCATACCCTGGAGTTGGAGCCGTGTGTATGTATCAATAACGGGGGTCAGGTGTTAATCATGAGAACGAGTGCTGATTGAGGCCAATTTAACACTGAGTTTTAATAGAAACACCGACGTCATCATATGCGTCGTAAAAAGTCTTGAATTTCATTCAGACATTGAACGCATTTTGTTTTGAATTGCGCTGTCTGAGTTGGAATAGTTGTAGTAGGTAGTATCAAGGTCCTAAGTGTGATTTTAAAATGGTTAAATATGTAGTGAATGATAACTAAGTGTGATACTAAGTGCTGGAGAGCCATGGTTCGGCAAGAATGGACCAGGTCCACCGGGAGACCACGTCCGACCACGGCCTCACAGAAAACCGACGTGAAACAACGCTTGCGTTGTGTTTCGTCGTGTGGGTGAGGCTACCGGAGGCCCAATTACTCCCCAATCTCCCCAATCCCTGAATCCCCAATAATCCTCAAATTCCTAATCCACATAAGGCCGGTAACGCACTTGTAACGCCTCTGGTGTTCCGGGCATCCATGGGCGACGCCGATTACTTACCATCAGGTGCATACCATCTGCTCGTTTACCGGCTTAATTATAAAGCATTTTTCGGAAGAATATCCCTACTTTTACCGCTGGTGTCGTTAGAACCGACTAAGAGACTACATTTAACAAAACAGCAGCACTCTCTGATAAACCTGCCCCTTTTTCTGTGATCTTCAATCTGCCTGCAAAGCGTGTAGATAATAACCAATCTCTCTTATGTAGAGAGAGGACTGTCACGAACATTTGATGCCACTATAGACCTTTGAAGCAGAAGCTGAATTTTGACAAATTCCTCATCACTGCCTGAGGGCCATATTTGAAAGTAGATCGTACCAAAAGATCGTTGATTGTAAGGCATATCTTGTACCTTTTACTATCAAATAAATAATAATTAAATAAAAATGTTGTTCCACGTTTTCTCATTTGAGCTGATGATTTTGCGTCAACAACAGTCGTCAATCTTTATTGATGCACAAAGTCATATTAAACAATTTGTAATCTTTGATGAAGGTAATTTATTTCCCTCGGCTAACCCCTCATTTAAAAAACGATACTGCAATATGAGTCACCGATTGTCACAACACGCACTAAACAAAACAACTAATACCGATTATTGTATGGATTTTCTATGTAGTAATACTATTGCATAATTATTCTCTAACTCCCATACCGATTACCGACGCAGCCAAACATAACAACCTGTAAGTTCCGCGTTCGTTTCCCGGTAGGCGTACGCGCATGTTTTCATTACTCATTGTTGAAGTCGCATTGTCTTTGGAACAACAATACACGCGAATGTGCGTTGTTTAGGAATCAATACAATAATATGATCAAATTTTCATTTTAAACACTTGTAAGGTACAGATGAAATAATAAGAGACAGATCTTCTGATTGGGATTATACTTAACAGTTTTACTGTAATGATAAGGTTTATTTATTGTTTCTATATTAGATAGGACTGACATTTGTCCACTAAGTGATATGGCCTACGATGGAGCACGTCGACCCATAAGCAACCTATTCCCTCGGTTTGATTTGTAACTACATACATAATAGCACGAAGTCTGGATCTGCTAGATTATTCTGTAACTTTCAATTCTACACATCGAAGTGAATTTGATCGCAGTCCGCCATGTCATTGGTTTTGAGAATAATCTCGACATGGCGGACTGCGATGGAGTATAGCCTAGCAATTATGGCAATCCGCTCGCACTTTACACATAACGAACCGAGAAACTTACCAAAAGAAATAAGGCGTCGAACACACAAAAAAAAAAAAGAAAGAAAATATATTTATTTCACGCCAAAAACAAGTGGCATGTACAGATAATTCATGCTATTAGCAGGAACTGAAGGATACATGTTCATGCCCCAAGTCTGCCACGAAATCGGACCAGTTCAGCATGTGCAAGACAGGGCCTTGCGCTGGTATTCTACTGGCCCCTTAAGTGACTCACGAAGAAACAACTATATGACAAATAACCATACGGTTCAATAAAACGTTGCTCGCAATCTCAGTTACTTATAATAATAACTTTGCAATATATACTAACTACGGATTATAATGTTTGATTACAGAGTCCAATCGGATGTGGGCGAGTGCCTCCTTCGTGGGCGTGCTCATCATCATCGGACTCCCACTCTGGTGGAAGACCACAGAAGTGTACAGGTAAATATGTCTAACCTCAATGATTCTGCTCACTGCTTGGAAACCTGGTTATCTTGCAGTTCGTCTACATATCTGAAATAATGTAGGTACCATATCTAACCATTGTAATATCTATAGGCTAGCGACCCGCATGTATTATACATATAAACCTTCCTTAAGAATCACTCTATCTATTAAAAAAACCGCATCAAATACCGTTGCGTACTTTTAAAGATCTAAGCATACATCCCTATGTATGCTATGTAGCGTCGTCTGTCTGTCCATACAGACAGACGACGGATAGCGACTTTGTTTTATACTAATAAAACTGTCTGTGTGTATTGATAGTCCTTTCCTTTCTAGTAGTCTGACAAAATCTGAAAGTGTGTCTCTTCAAAGACACCATTATCGAATTAATTAAAAATTACGAGCTGCTCACGTAATATACTGAGGAAAGCTTTACTAGTTTCGAGACACAGGGTGTGCGGTTACTCTTGGCCATGAGCAGCGTGTGCGGTCGCGGCGAAGTCAGCGTAGCACAGCACAGCCTACTCGAAGTTAACATACATATTTGTACGTGTTTAACACGTAAATTTTAGTTAACTTGGTATGTCTCACGATAGTTATTATAAAAATACACCATTTTCAATAAGAATATCCTACTGCTCCTAATAATGGGATGTGGGGCATGAAAAAAATTTGCCATCTTTTGGAATAAAACTTATCATCATCAACAGCTAGAAGACGTTTATTGCTGGACTTATTTTAAGCTTTTACCACAGTAGGTCTCTGCAGACAGGACGGCGGGACGGGACGGCGACGCGGCGGTAACCGATGGCTCTGTGTGGCGTCGTCCGTAATATCTAGTACATAATTATTACAACTGCTCAGTGTCGCGTCGCGTCGCCGTCCCGTCCCGCCGCGTCGCACCCGGTGTGTGCAGAGACCTTTACATAAAACTCCAAAAACAGTTATTTCATACGTAGATACAGATACAATTTACTAGTGCCGTCTAATTTTCCCATTCAATAAAATGAGCTGTAAACAAATACCGTTTCAATAATGACTCATTCCATAACAAAATCAATACTTACAACTATGCTAGCCATTAAAGTCTAGTATCGAATAACTTCTAACATACTAGGCATTAAGAAAATATGCAAGTAAACACATTCCGACAATTAAGCAATCGTTTGTTTACTTGTATAAATAAACAGGGTCTAATTAAAAGATTACCTATGAGTCTATGACACGAGACGTTGACAGGCTGTAATAGAACGCGAATGTGCACGAGTTGCATACGATGCATGCGTTAATATACCAAGGAGGTTCACTTATACTCTTTTTGTCAACAGCCTATTTTTTTTTTAAGCGGGGAAAATCATCGAATGACTGGTCCCGCCTGGGTGAGGCGGGAGGGAGTGTCAGACTCTTACTGACTAAAAACCACCCCGTTCCTTCTCCTGCACGTCGAGTCGGAGCCCCGGTTACCCGTTAGGTTCTCCGCGACGTCAACAGCCTATAAGTGGCCCTTGCTGACCACAGGCGTCTTCTCACAAGGAGAAGGATTAGGCATTAATCAATAATCACTACGCTTGCTCAATGCAGGTTGGCGATTTCAAACTATTAGAAATTATAAGTGCAGGTTTCCTCACGATATTTTCCTTCATCGTCTGTCAGTGGTGTCTAAATAATCTTAGAAAATACATATATAACTCGGAAAAAGTCACATTGGTACTTGCTGTTGGTAGGTTTCGAACCCGCTCCCGAATGCATGAGAAGTGGGCATCTAAGATCGCAGAGCCACCACGACATTTTTGGCGGTTAGTCCTCCAAAAGGAGGTTTATACTTCGTATCAGAATAAAAGATTAATTTTGGTCATCGTTTTGTAGCCTTTCGTATAAATTTTGGCAAAATACCTGGTAAAAATCTTCAAATCATCTCTTCACTATTTTAAACATTTTATTCGCGAGAAAGTCAAATGTATTGTAAAAGGTGAGGACACAGGTTAATAAATATGACATTTAATTAACCCCAAACAGGGCTTTACCTATGGCAGATGATAACCGTTTAAGTATTAATATAATATAAACCAAATTTTACGACCATAGTTATCATTGAACCTCAGATAACCTCACGTTCGATTTTTCTCCATATATTTGTTTATATTTTGATAAAGTTTTAGTGCAATTTTATGATCGACCTTTGGTACTATGTCCGAGGATTTTTTGCAAAGTCAAACCATTCATTCCTAACTAATTTTTAACTGCAACTCCCTTAGCGAGATTGTATTTTTTCGGTACTTCGGAATAAGTAAACATTAACATGTTTCAATCTGTTGATAGTATAGATGTAATAAATGTTTCTGTGGTTGATAGTTTGAACAAAATTGTCTTTTTATCAAACTTTAGTTTCGTTCATAGGAACATTAATAGGAAATAGTAAGAATCGTAGCAATTGGCGTTCTATAGTCTCAGTCCCCCTATGGGAGACAGGCGTGAAATTATGTATGTACTAGCTTTTACCAGCGGCTTCGCTCGCGTCACAAATGGATAAAAAGTAGCCTATGTGACATATACACACAGCGCCATCTATACCAATGATTTCGTTTTTCCTCGAGAATATCACCGGGTATTATACTCATATTTCCGGGATAAAAAGTACCCTATTATTTAATCCAGACTTGTAACTTTACGTTTGCAAAAATTCAAAGCAATCGGTTTAGTAGTTACGGCGAGAAAGGGGAACAAACAAACAAACAAACTCACTTTTCGATTTAAAATATTAGTATGTATGTATGAACACATATAGAAACTATTCCTTTTTGAAACAGCAACAAATGCCATGGATGGATCTGGCTACTCTTTTAAATCGTTACAATCTCGGTAAATACAACTAAGCGGCTTTCGGTCTGACTTCAAGTGGGGATTGTGTTACAAAGTCGCCCTTATGGAGTCCATGAAGACTCTCCTTGTAGGATAAACTCCAAATGAAATGAAAGCCATTAAAACTGTCATAACGATGTAATCCTATCTAGCTGTTGCCCACGACTTGGTCCGCGTAGAATATGAATTTTGGAGCATAACTTTTTTTGTTTTAATTTTCCAAAATAATTAGCCAATACAAACACACAGACAAACAAACGAACAAAAATTGTAAAAAATGATATTATGGTATGTGGATCGTAAGTATATTTTTTTATGGGATAAGCCGGTAAGCGAGCACACGGATCTCCTGATGGTAAGCAATCGGCGTCGCCCATGCACACCTGGAACACCAGAGGCGTTACAAGTGCGTTACCGGCCTTTTGGGGCTTAGGAGTTTGAGGATCGTTGGGGATTCAGGAATTGGAGAGATTAGAGAAGGCGAGGGTAATTGGGCCTCCGGTAACCTCACTCACACGACGAAATACAACGCAAGTGTTGCTTCACATCAGTTTTATGTGAGGCCGTGGTATCACTCCGGTCGAGCCGGCCCAAGCGTGGCTCTCCCACACTCATAATGCATATAGTAAAAAGCGGTTATTTTTAGGATTACAAACAGATACTCCAATTTTAGTCATCTGTATAGATGGATATTCTTAACAAACTACGTGAAATCTCGGTCTGAGCATAAGACAATGACCAAATTGACAAACTGTATGAAATGAATGAATAGTGTAGTTTATTCTTCAGAATATGAAACTTCCGACTTTTTAGTCAACTTAAATCTTCAAAGAGTTCTGTTTGAAGATTTATTCATGTCTCAGGAGCGATGCTGTCTAACTTGTTTAGTTTATATTATGATTTTACGGCCCAACCAGACTGAACAACATTTTATAGTATACTAGCGACCCGCCCCGGCTTCGCACGGGTGCAATATGTATATACATACAAACCTTCCTTAAGAATCACTCTATCTATTAAAAAAAACCGCATCAAAATCCGTTGCGTAGTTTTAAAGATCTAAGCATACATACGGACATACAGCGAAAGCGACTTTGTTTTATACTATGTATTGATTGATTGATAAAAATCATTGTTCCATCCGGGAATTGAAAAGCCGCGGAAGGACCAACGGATTGCCGAGGCTCCTGCTCGAAGGGCGAAGAGCAAGAGTAGGAGCGGCCACCTCGTTTTTAGTCAGTAAGAGTCTGACACTCCCTCTCGCCTAACCCAAGGCGGGGGAAGTCATTGGATGATTTTCCCCCATAAAATAAAAAAAATCCGGGAATTGAAACCGCAACACATTAATGAATAGCCTGCCCCAACGGTGTGGTAAATTAATTAATATCTTAACAAAAAACTTTTCCTTTCTTCTAGGGTATCACTGCCATACGACAAGATCAGCTCGTTCGATACTCTATCTCACTCTATCACCACGGAACTGACAGTGCTGGCGAATGATGACGCCACTGCCGCGGAGATCATTAACAAAATTCTGAATGCTTTTAAAGATTCAGGTAAGGTATTATATTTTTTGGGCCTCAATGCAGTCGGTAATCCGTACTGCAGTTGATGATTGCTGCTCGCAGGTACCAAACCAGAGAAAATAAAAAATATGGTAAAGGGACCTTGGCATACTTCATATTTATTTCTATTTCTATCTTTAAGACCTTTTAACTGTATCCTAAGGTAATTTTCAAGATGACAGTTTACTCTAAAAAATAATAAGTATAATGTTAAAAAAAACTCCACAGACGTCTTCATCTTTTTACGCATATCTATGGTGTATAACATTTGGAAGACTACAAACAATAGTAATAGACCGACCGAATATTATTCACCCATGTTCTAAAAAAAAACTAATAATATTCCAGATGTGACCAAACTTAGGATCACAAAATCCTTAATCTCCAAGCAGTTACTTTCAACCCTGGATGCCGTAGCTGACGAGCATGAAGCAGTGGAAGAAGTGGGAGCAGTGTACGATCTCACCAAGCATAACACGTTCTACGTGGTGCAGAGGAAGCCACTGTTCCAGGACACCTGGCTGGCTGGAGACAGGGTCATGTTCTTTAGAGATGCTAAGGGTGAGTACTTTGGACATTAAGTCTAGTTTTTTCAGAGTTGATGGTGAATAGAAGCCAAGTTATCTGGTATCCAAGTAACAGATAGAAGTGCGGGAGGGGCATGCTTCGGCACGAGTGGGTCGGCTCGACTGGAGTGATACCACGGCCTCACAGAACACACAGAACACCGACGTGAAACAACGCTTGCGTTGTGTTTCGTCGTGTCAGTGAGGTTACCGGTCCGCGTCCCCAATCTCCTTAATCCCTGAAATCCCCAACAATCGCACAAGTACAAATCCCCAAATAACGCGTGTGGTGTTCCAGGTGTCCATGGGCGACGCCAATTGCTTACCATCAGTTGATCCGTCAGCTCGTTTACTGGCTTATACCATAAAAAAACAGATTGATTTGGTAAAATCAATAGACAGGTAGCTATTGGTTAGTCACGGACCAGCTGACCAAGTTACAGTTACAGTCTTCAGTGTGCGTTCAGTTTAAAAAGACAGTGACTCTCTCACCACACCGTTCACCTCGAAATGTTGGGTTTGTATGACATGACAAATAATTTACTGAAAGTACAAATACTGCATTCTACAAAGTTTGACTTAGGTGGTAACATAGAATAATACAGATCATTGTAGACCCTGTCAGGCATAGCAAGGAAATATATATAATTTTAATACAAAAAATTAAATATAATTTATACGAACAAACAAATAACACAAGTTATCAAATTCGTTATTATTGTTAATTGACAAATCTTTTTTATTTTTTTTTTTTTGGCATGAGCCGGTAAACGAGCAGACGGCTCACGTGTTGGTAAGCAATCTGCGCCGCCCATGGACACCTGGAACACCAGAGGCATTATAAGTGCGTTACCGGCCTTTTGGGGATTAGGAGTTTGAGGATCGTTGGGGATTCAGGAATTGGGGAGATTGGGGAAGGGGAGGCTAATTGGGCCTCCGGTAACCCCACTCACACGACGAAACACAACGCAAGCGTTGCTTCACGTCGATTTTCTGTGAGGCCGTGGTATCACTCCGGTCGAGCCGGCCCATTCGTGCCGAAGCATGGCTCTCCCACACTTAAAATCCCCTTTACTATCTTATTACCACAATATAGTTAACAAAATTAGTATCAATATTAGATATACTGTCGTCAAAAAAGTCTTTTAGAATATAATAGCGTTTATTCATTAAATATTTTTTCAATCTCAAAACAAATATATTGGTTTATTCTATCTCTAGAATTTCCCTTGACAGTTTATTGTAAAACGCTCAGAAGAATGATTATCTTAATTAAAACTCACACTTATTCAAAAATAATTTGTATTCACTTGTTTTATATTGTTTTACAATTTATCTGTTGCTGTTAAAGACAAAAACCGCGCGAATGTCCGACAGAGATAGTGTTGCCACGTTCGGAAACTTAATCAATCCACAATATTACTATTTGGCATTTTAGTGTTTGAAATACTTAGATAATATTATTAGTCTCAAGTTTAAATATCGTGAGCGATAAAATATGTGACTTATGCACTATTCTGCCTTCTTTTCGAAATAGTGGAAGATCCCTAACATCCCTTACACCAACAGCGTAGCAACATACCTACATTAATTTTGCCCTGTAAGATTTATGACCTACATTCGGTACTGAGGCGGTCATTACGTGGGCCAGTCAATATTTGGACCCACCAAACAAACATCATGTTCCCTTCGAATTGGTATTTCAGTACTTTCAGTGGCCTTGGGCGAATTCCACTGCTAAAATAGGGATATACATTTGTCTCACATAACATAACATCACGCCTTTTATCCCCGAAAGGGTAGGCAGAAGTAAACATTATCTACGGCACTTAATGCAACTTTGCAATGTAGCACCCACTTTTCACATGTTATGAGTCCATGTAATAGGGTGTGAGCCTATTGCCATATACCGAGCACAATTCCAGACTCCGTGCTATTACTGAGATTTTTTTAAAAAGCACAGTAATTCTTTGCCCTATCCGGGTAACGAATCCGAGACCCCTTGGCCGGCAGTCGCACTTGCGACCACTCGGCCAACGAGGCAGTCATTTGCCTCATATTATTTTTTTATGCTTATGGTGGCGCACCTTTTGGGGATTTAGGAATTGAGGATTTGGGGATGTTTGGGGAGGGGTAGGATTGAACCTTATCGGTGAAATCACTCATATGGCGAAATACAACGTCTACGTAGCATGGTATTCTGTGAATCCGTTGATTTCATACCAGCACCTGTAGCCAAATGCCATTTAGCGCTTGTCTACATGTAGAATAGAAATCAAGTTATATGAAATTGACGTATATTTTGACACGTTTGTCAGTGTCATTTCCATGCATTTTGATTTCCACTCTCTCTGTAGATAAGCGCTAAAGTGGCGTTTGGCTAAAGGCCCAATTGAGCCGGGTCGTTCGTGCATGGCTTTCTCACTTAATGATCTACTGCTGTTGATGATTCATCTACTTACTTAAAGTTCTTACTTATCCTTAATCATCTTATTTTTCAATTACAGCGTCTAACACAGTTGCCGAAGCCTTAAAACGCGTGGTCTACCAAACATCAGTGGTAGAAGGTGCTCGCTCTGAGACAGCTGACGCGGCGAGACAGACCAGGTTCCCGCCCGGTGCAGGGTACCATATTGTACTGTCTGTCGTGCATCCCAGACCTGATGCGCTGAAGGTGGATCTTAATGCTGGTGAAGCTGTTGAAGGTATGTGCTTAAATGTTGGATGTGTAGATGGAACTACCTTAAGTCGCAAATGCAAGATGGTCTCAGGTTCAATTCCCGGGTTGAGCAAAATATTGTTTGTAACGTTTTTAATTTAATATTTGAGTATCTATAAGGTGTCCTTAAATCATAAATCAACTTGTGACCCGCCCCGGCTTCGCACGGGTGGAACATGCATATATTATACATATAAACCTTCCTTAAGAATCGCTCTATCTATTAAAAAAACCCTGCGTGGGCTGAGCACCGCCGTGCCCTCAGGGAAGTGATCGGCGATGGCGACCTCTCGCGTCCGGGCCTAGTGCAGGCCATGATGCGGAGCGAGGGGGACTGGATTTTTTTTTATGGGACAACCCGCCACAACCTCCCAAAACCGCTGCAACTCCTGTAAGCCAGGATCTACAGTTGATACAACCATGAAAACACCGGAGCATTGAAGTCCGGCACGTCCCAGGGACATGAGTAACTGTCTTGGTTGGGTTGGGACTGGGGACTGGGATACCGTCTCCTCCTTTTGCGAAGCAGTCATGCTAGCTAAGGAGGAGGCGGGACGCGTGAGGCAGCGAAGCGCTGCCTCCTCGCAACCCAGCCATCGCGAAAGACACACCGGGCGTCGGGGATCGCGGGACGATCTCCGGCCACCGTAAGCGCGGGACTGCGGACGGCGAGCATGGGTGGCTCCCCGTCCGACTAGAAACAGACCCGAGCGTACGGAACCTCAAAGAGCCATCAGACCACCACAGATGGGGCCCAATAGGGCCGATGCCGATTCGTAGTCGCGGAGAACCTAACGGGTAACCGGGGCTCCGGCTCGACGTGCAGGAGAAGGAACGGGGTTGTTTTTAGTCAGTAAGAGTCTGACACTCCCTCCCGCCTCACCCAGGCGGGAGGAGTCATTCGAAGATTTTCCCCTTAAAAAAAAAATCTATTAAAAAAACTGCATCAAAATCTGTTGCGTAGTTTTAAAGATCTAAGCATACATAGGGACAGACAGACGGCGGATAGCGACTTTGTTTTAGCAAAGTTTAAAATATATATATTATAACCACGCAGTTGACCTCGCATTTAACAGCCAGTTAGATAAATTTTTGTCTGTATGTGAAGACCTTATTAAGTAGACGTACCTTTTTCTGATTGCGTATCAATAATCTGTTATCCTCAGATTACATCGGGTCGTTCGTGGATGAGATGAGTGTGCTACACAACTTTACGCTCAAGTCACAGTGGCTCCATCTACTGGACTTCGATTTCCAAGCCAAAGAGGTAAGTTATTTTTATAATCTGTTCTCTAACTGTTTCCTTCTCAAGGTATCCTTCATCAACATCACCTAACACAACATAACATCACGCCTTTTATCCCCGAAGGAATAGGCAGAGGTGCACATTATGGCACTTAATGCCAATGTACATTGTAACACCCACTTTTCACTATTTATGTTATGAGACCCATGTAATAGGGGTGAGCCTATTGCCATATACCGGGCACAATTCCAGACTCCGTGCTGTAACTGAGATTTTTAAAAAAACATCACGAGCCTATAAGTTTCCACTGCTGACCAAAGGACTGAGACTCACACGGAGAAGGATTGAGCATTAATCACTATGCTTGCTCAACGAGGGTTGGCGATTTCAAACTTACAAATACGAATTATAAAGGGTTCTCTCACGATGTTCACGATGTTCTTCACCGTTCGTCTGTGGTGTCTAAATGAGCTTAGAGAGTATTTATAACTCGGAAAAAGTTACATTGGTACTTGCCGTTGGTAGATTACGAAACCGCGCCCTCATGCGTGAGAACCGGGCATCTTAATCCTCCAGGCCACCATGACATACAAGTTTATACTTAGGTTTTTTTTATGGTATAAACCGGTGAACGAGCAGACGGATCACCTGATGGTAAGCAATTGGCGTCGCCCATGGACACCTGAAACACGAAATGTTCTTTTTGTAAATAGGGAAGTCATTATAATATTACTGTGAATTGTGAAATATCCCTAATTGCAAGCAAAAGATGAAATCGCACTGTTTTTCAAATTGGTTTTTTTAATGTTATAATCTATGACGCCCGCTTCTCATTCATGAGGGCGCGGGTTCGAAACCTACCAACAACAAGTACCAACGTGACTTTTTCCGAGTGTACTTTCTCTATGTACTTTCTAAGATTATCTAGACACCACTGACAAACGGTGAAGGAAAACATCGTGAGGAAACCTGGGCTTATAATTTCTAATTATAAGTTTGAAATCGCCAACCCGCATTGAGCAAGCGTAGTGATTAATGCTCAAAACCTTCTCCGTATGAGAAGAGGCTTTGCTCAGCAGTGGGCATTTATAGGCTGTTGATGATGACTATTTCTAACGTGGGTGCTAATTTTTAATAGAAAACGGTGGCGACATCTTAAATTTTAGTTCCTTTATTATCAAATTTTGAAATCTCATAACGTCTACATAACTATCTCATTTAATAATGCTCTTGTAAAAATACAAGCAATCAAAATAATTTACATAACAATAAACAATGTTACAGATAAAAGACACAAGTGACTGGGGCCGCCATTATGCCGTCCGCCAAGACAGACTGCACCTCCTACTGACTAAGCTTGAGGAGCGGACTGCCACACATGTCTCGGAGCTGCCCACTATCAACCTCGCGTTGTACGCTGTACCTTGCGAGAGGGCGCCACTTGTTATTTATGATAGTAACGGTGAGTTTATTTAGTTGGTTTTATATTTTTTATAGTTTAGTTCAGGTAAAGAGCGAGTGGATCGCGCGATGGTAAACAAAAGCTACTGTCCATGCGACCCTGGAAGGGTTTTGCAATTAAGTAGTTGCCAACTAGTCAAATTCAATACTTTTTTCGAACTGTCAAAAACGACAGTTTTCTATGAATTTTGTACGGGATTGTGTATTGTGACGTCACATTTTTTTAGAGTCTAACAGCTTACTTATTTCTCAAAAATGTGCTAAAACAATACTGAAATTAAGTTGGTCATAAAATCAATTAATAAAAGTGTGATGATTTTTTAATATTTGATTGTATTGAACAGTCGAAATAATTTATTTTCGATTCAGAAAAGTACCCATTTGGAGATTTGTTATGGGGGAGGATTAGCTTCCCGTCTTTAAAAAATTGACTGTTATTAATTACGAGGTTAACTTAGTTAGATTTGATTAGTTAGGCTAGTTTGGTTTGGTTTGGTTAGTTGACTTAATTACCTTTGGTATGTTATTTAAGTGTTCTCATTTTTCGGAGAGAAAATTTTTTTTGAAGATACTCATTGTAATTAGAGGTGAGCTATTCTAGATTTATTATTCGATCACTAAGTCTGATTGTGATCCATGTCGACATAGCATTAGCATCCTATTTTAGCTACTGGTAGTGTTTAACTATATTTTTTTAATCTTCATCTCCAGATAAAAAAGTGGAGTCCCACGTCCAAGCATTCATGTCGCCTAAATGGGGCGGCGTGGTGCTGGGCGGACCGAGCGAGGCTGACTGCAGGGACTCCAGCCCTGTGTGGAAACCCAACGTGAGGGTTATCATGGGCACCTTCATCTCACAGCTTAGGAAGCTGCTGGGAATTACTGATGCGGTGAGATATCTTTGTATAGTATTAGTATTGGTTTATATGGTGTAACATACTTAGTTTTATTCCTCGAAAATCCGGGTTTCATAAGGGACTCATTTTACTCGATTGCCGCCTTTTTTTTTAAGGGTGGAAAATCATCGAGTGACTGCTCCCGCCTGGGTGAGGCGGGAGGGAGTGTCAGACTCTTACTGACTAAAAACCACCCCGTTCCTTCTCCTGCACGTCGAGCCGGAGCCCCGGTTACCCGTTAGGTTCTCCGCGACTCGATTGCCTCTTTAGGGGGTTGAATTGGGTACTTTTTTTTTCTTCTTTGGCAACCGAGTCTCCAATATGATGTTGTGAATTGGGTACTTGTCAACTAGTCAAATTCAATACTTTTTCGAACTGTCAAATACGACAGTTTTTTATGAATTTTGTACGAGATTGTGTATTGTGAGTTATTTTATATAAAGCAGGAAAATAAATAGAATTAAGTTAGTCATAAAATCAACTAATGAAAGTGTGATTATTTTTTGATATTTAATTGTATTGAACTGTCGAAATACCTAATTCATTTTTGATTAAGGGAAATACCCAATTGTGACTCTCAAGACGAGGACTTTCGTGACGTGCAAAGTATTTTACATACGACCGAAATGGATTTTTCGATTTCAGTATGTAATTGTTAAACGTCTACACACATGCATGTGCACGTTTATTTGCGTGGTTCGTTCTATTGTACTATTTTTTTTTTTTTGTTTTTTTTTTCATTGCCCCACATTCTCACTTCACCATATTATTATTATTTCCACAGTCAGAACTTGTAATCTTGTAAGAAACATGTTTAACCTGTATAGCCTGTTAAATATAGTGTTTCTGCCTAATTGTATAAATCTTGAGAATATTATATTTATAAAATTATCGAGTATCGTAAGAACTGTTAGTTCTGCTCCACAGAACCTACAATCGTTTTCATTACTGATTGCATTGTTAGAAAAAAAACTAAAAATGTTCGATTTTAAGGATTTTGACGTTTTTATAACTATCATTTTAATACAACTTTGAAATAAAATGTTGCTTACATCTTGCAGGTACACGTAAACGGCGCTCACTTAGAACCTCTCCGCTCCGTAACTCCCCGTCAGTGGGAGATCGACAACCTGCTCCGCATCAGGACACTGGAACAGCTCACCTCGGCTGAGAGAACGCTGCAGTCTTTGGCGCAGTTGCTGGGTAAGTTATAATTATCTGACTAATGAGATCCCCAGGCAGACACCCGAGGAGTTATAGTACGTAGGTTTTGAAGATTGGTGATTAGACATGATCGAGCGAGAGGATTGAGTCTCCGGTGACGATGAGTGAGATCACACAGCAAAACACAACGTTAATTTCACACCAATTTGAGGTTCAAAACGGAGCTATCTTGAGGAAGATGCCTTTGTGCAGTAGTGGATGTGTTCTAGCTGTTGATAATAATTAATAGGGTTAATAGTTGTTCATCAGTCACATAGAAATTGCCTTTTCTTTTCACTTTTTTTTCCTGGTCTTTTTCACACTTTTTTATTAATTTTTTACTTTCAGCCATGATCGTCCCACTGCAGGACAAAGGCCTCCCTACCCTCCTTCCACTCCTCTCTATGTAAAGCTTTTTGCTTTGCGGCCAATCCTTGTCATAGATGTCTAATTCGTCCCGCCATCTCCTTTTGGCCTGCCGCGACGTCTACTGACGTTGAGTGGGCTCCACTCAGTAGTAAGTTTTGCCCACTGCTCGTCTGACACGCGGCAGACATGACCAGCCCAGTTCCACTTCAAGCCTGCAGCTTTATGGCCAACGTCAACGATTTTAGTTGTAGAGCGCAGCGTGGTGTTCCTAATTCTTTTCACACTTAGTTTGTGTATGCAATTGCATTTTTATGGACTTAATACTCCACATAGCAAAACATCAATATCAAAAATTAATCATATGTGAACAACTTTCCAGGTGAAATATCAAACATAGTGATCAACGATGAAGTAGGAGCATCAATCAACTCGGCAGTGGAGAGTATTCAGCGAGCGAGCGAGTTGATGTCCCGCGGCGACCTGGTGCAAGCATACAACATGTCGCAGAGCGCCTTCCTAGCTGCAGAGACGGCGTTCATGGAACCTAGTCTATTAGCGCTTCTGTACTTCCCTGATGACCAGAAGTGAGTGTTATTTCCAGCTTTTTCCAGCATATTATTATAAGATAGGGTGGCGAACCAGAGATTCAGAGGTGTTATTATAAGTGCATTCCCGACAAAGCAAACGATATATTTTATTCTTATTACTGCGATTAGCTACCCACCGATAAAACAGGTAATTAACAACCCCTTAATTATTGGGAGGCGATTTGTAACGACGATTCCCAAATCACCGATTATCGGGGATTGGGGTAGCTAAATAGTAGTCAGACAGTTTTTGTTTAGAAGTGTAACGATCAAAATTTTCTCAAAACACTATAAAGATACCTATTTATTCATTCTCTGACTTTATACATTATTATGTTTTCGGCTTACTCGAAGCCGAATACAGATATTACTTTGATTTACAATTATAAGTTAATCCCTAATAACAAATTTATTTCTTTTCAGGTATGCAATCTACATTCCACTGTTCCTCCCAATAATGTTCCCAGTGGTGTTGTCTCTCAAGAACTTAATACTTTGGTTCAGAGGCAAACCCGTCCACAAGGAGAAGACAGAATAAACTTGTACAATCTTATTTATATTTTAATTAATTACAATTTATTTACTGTGAATAAAGTATTATTGTTTTAATTAGTTCAATTTCAATTTTAGTTTTGATTATAATTATAATTCCTGGGTCGGGCAAAATATTACTGGGTATTTTTTAATTCTCAATAGTAGCACGGAGTATGGAATTGTGCCCGATTATGGAATATAGCAATAGACGCACCCCCTATTATATGGGAATCATAACATAAATAGTGAAAAGTGGGTGTTAAACTGTCAAACACCAAGCGGTCACCGGTGACCGCAACCTATTGTTCTATAATTGTGTCTACAAAACCGGTACTCGACGAGTTAAATTGTGCAGCGGCATTAAGTGCCGTAATGTGCACCTCTACCTACCCCTTCGAGAATAAAGGAAGTGATGTTATGTTATGCAAATAAGGTTTTGAGAACATTTTATAAGCTTAACCTTTTTTATATATTTATTTGACCACTATCTCGCCTGGTCGTAAGCGATTATGCGGTCTACGATGGAGCATCGTGTCCCATAAGCAAACTATTCCTAAGCTCTCATAAACCTGAAACTTATAAAGTGCGATCTTCAACCCACTAGGTTTTTAAGTTGATCAGTGGACTGTACAGAGGCTGTTCAGTATAACATCAGACATGTAAGCAAATTAATTGTACCTAAATAATACTTTAATTGATGGTTTAGTGTAGAAATATTTGAAAAACATAAATAAAACAACCAAGTTTGCTTCAATTATATATAATGTATCATTATTAATACTTGAGGTACTTAATCAGAGTCCGAATCCAATGAAATTATTACTTATCTAAATATATTACGATATCATTGTGCAGAAAATACATTGTGTATTGTTCAATTATAATTTAATCTTATTTTACGCTTATGTAGATACTGACAACGGGTTTATTAACTCAGGAAAATATTAAACGTATATATGTACTCAATAGAACTAATATTTTTTACGTAACACAATTCCTGCCAAAAAGTTAAAAAAGTTATGAACGGTTTACCAACTTAATAAACATAAATAGGGGTGTAGGGTACTTTATTTTTTTAATTAAAAATAGTCAAAATCAATACTTTTTTAAAAGTCACACACTAATTTTGACTATGTGATGTGTTCTTAATGCCAATTTAGCATTATTTATTATCTATTACAATTTCAATTATTTTACTAGAAAATCTGAAGAATCAGAAAATCAACAATAAAAAAAATAACTTAAATTACGTTACTCAATGCAACGTTTAGAAAATTACCTACTTGCATTTTAATTTACTTTTTTTTACTAAGGAAACTTATTGCTCATAAAATATCACTACAGCGAACAAAAACTAATTAATCGGGTCTGAAGTCGTAATAGCGCAATAAACCCGTCTTCAGTACAATTTGACTTAAAACCTATTGAAGTGATCATGAAATGTTAACGATGACTGATATGTGGCATGTTCTTCATTTAACTCAATTTATTCACTTTAAACGCTTGCCGTATGCTTGTTACATTTTAACTTGAATCTTTATTTCCAAAGCTAGTAAATACGATTACCATAATTATATCTGCACTGAAATATTTCAAATTAGTTTGTTTTAAAAACAAATAATTATTGGCATTTAACACACCTTAAATATTTCAATATTGTGCGATATTCGCCAAAATAAGACTTTAATGTTTAGCTTGACTCGTTTCATTGTCACACTTCCTTATTTCCTTGCATTGTAAAGATAATCATATCGTAGTCGTAGACTGTTGAACACCTTACATTTTAAATAATAATATGTAGATACTTAGCTTATTTTTTTAGATATGCACCGATTTCATCGATTGTGAACATGCAAACATGCAGTTTAAGTATTACATTCTGTAATATTTTCATCCCCTCCGACAAAAAATTCGATTAAAATTGGTACACATCCGACATTCATTTATCTACTATTAGAGGACATTAACACGAGTTATCTAAGTACATTAGGATTCGTTCCAATCAGTTTCTGTGATCATGGCAACATTTTCACCCTTGCCCGGTAAATATTCAAACTCCCAGAGGGAGTTAGCCAACACAAGAGTCTCTCCTTCTGTCAGCTCAAAGTTTAGAGTGTAACAATCATCTTCGCAAGGAGCTCGCGGTCGTAACTGAACAAACGACTTGCCTTTCAACTGAGACATGATTATCAATCCAATGTCAAACTCCAAATACTTATATCTATGAGTATCGTAGTTCTTAGACAATAATAACCAATTAAAGTGGGAGGGAGGGATGTGAGGGGACAGGAAGTATGGCCTAGGTGCGAGGACCCTGAAGGATTTAACTGCACGTATATCGCAGTTTTGGAAATGGACAAACCAACTCGGTATGTCTGTGTTTGTTATCCTAGAAACTATTTCTTCTAAGTCCATAGGCTGTCGTCCGATTCTTATGTTGGTTAAGATTCTACAAGGAACCGAGTCGCGGAGTCGGTCATCGTCGCTGATCAAACCGGTCAGGTTAAGTTCATCTCGTGAAGACCAATCGTAGTGAGCATCCACGACGATAACCGGCGCCCCGCGAAGGAGGTGGTGGTTGAATACTTCGTTGTATGAGGTGTCTGACAAGCGCGCAATATTTTCTGAAAAAATTATACTCTTGGTGAATATTTCAGTCAACTCATCTTATTCTTGAAAATGTCGAGTTGCCCCTAATAATTCGGTTCAATGAAATCGAATTAATTCGGTTGAATGGGCGACAGACGTTTTATAAATGTAAAGGGGCTTCTAAGTTATTCAAATTAAATGGAAATTGATTTCATTTTGAAAAAAGGGAGAAAAAGGGAGGACAAATACGTCATTCAATAATTTAACTATGCATTTATCGAATTTTAATGAATTTGATTTTTAGTTCCATGTTGGTAGTGTCCGTTGATTAGACACTAACCTTGTCCGTTGATTGGACCTTTTTTTGAATGGTTTACAAAAATATTTTTAGAAACTGGGGTTGCCTTTATAGAGGTACACCATAGTACAGCAACTTTTCCTTTGTTATTTTTTTTACTTTACACAAGAATGAGTAAAATACGATTTAATAATCGAAGTTCTGATATTTATTGGAGGATATTTATAAAGACCTAAGCTACTATAATAATAAATAGATATAAAAACCACTTCAGTCTACTCTGCTGCTCTTGTGCACAACGATTAAATTGCATTTAATCGGTGTTAATTTTTTTATAACGAAAATGAAAAATCAATAGGTTGTTTTGTGTACAAGAGCATTACAAATGAGCCTTCACAATCGTATCAAATAACATTTAAGATTTGAGCCTTGAGTCCCAAGTCTGTTATTGTTAAAATACTATGCAGAAATATCATGAAATAATAAGGTTACCCTTAGATTTTTTAACCTGGGGACACCATTACGATATTCTATGAATGGGATGGTAAGGAAAATAACAAGCTTGGGACCGCCACCACCACACAAGATGATTTCTTCAATCATTCATACACTTATTTAACAAATAATTAAAGCATTTAAAGTTATCACTTTCTACTGATTATTGAAACATTTGTGCTGATTAATCAATGAGAAGCTAAATGGTGAATTAGACACTGCTAGTGCTGCTACGTATGCAAATCCAAGATTTTTCAAATCATTTGGCCGTCATCCTAGCCATCTGAGAAAAAGAAAAGAAAAATATTTTAAATCCAAGCGAATGCTCATAACTTGTATTTATATATGCATTTACGCTTGTAAAATGTACCGGACGAGTAATCTTAACAGTTTTTCCAACCCATTAGGTTGACGTATCCAATAAGGTAAGAAAATTCACGCAAGCGTTATCACCAATAAATAACACTAATTTACTAAGATGATAAAAATAAATAATGATGACAATACTTACTGACTGCCTCGCAGGCTATGCAATCGGTTGTTGATGCTCCTGCTTCGACATTAGGTGGTTCCGCAGGTCTCGCTATCATGCACTTGTTGTGGTACAGAGGTGTCCAGTCCCACACTGGCAGCAATTTAATCAAAACGATCCTGGCCAAGGCCGATGCATGCCATTTGAAAGTATCCGTTTGGCTAACAGTGTATCCAATCGCTATTCCCATTATCAAAACGAGGACCACCCTTGTCCAACGTTTGATAGTAGCTTTTCTCACAGAATTTGTGAGAGGACGACAAATTAAATCCATTTCTTCATCGCTCATACCAGCTTCCTTACAATATTCGTAAAAAGAACGCACTTCAGAGTTAATTAACTCGAATTTTTCACGTTGAGACATTTTTGCCCCGTTTTTGAGACTCATCTTGATGACCTAGTCTCACGGCGATCAATAATAAACTCGACGGTTTTATTGATAGGAATGAAATTTCGCGCGCGCGCGGAATGCTCGATTAGTTTTTTAATGTTGCAGTACTGTCGCAATGAATGCCGTCGATGATACAGCGATTATATAGGCACATAAACGAAAATTCGCCTAATAATAACGTTCACAATCCGAAATTCATGTAATACTAACTGATTTACAGAAATATTAAAATCTTTAGTATCAATTTATACCATATTTTAAATGTTTGTTTATTATTCTCAGAATAGTAACACGTGAACTTACTAATCTTAAAATTATATAAAATTAGTTATAATCAACTAACGTGGAAATATTACTAAATGTTTTTAATTACGTTTCTGTGTCCTAATTTTAACTTATAAAGTATTATTTTAAAATATTCAATTAACATCTACCGAATATTTTCTCGGTATGTATGTCGAATGATATTTATCCTCTTACCAATAATAATTTGTTTTTTACGACGTTAAATTGGCAACACCAAAAGTCAAATACCTGTACGCCATATTGAAAGTTCTAAGTGGGAAGTCGGTCAAACGCTGACCCTATTAGTTATTTCTATTTATTGTGTGACGATATTGATTTAAAAACTTATTCTAAATTTTTATTACGTATTTAGTGAACTATTTGTTGTGATTTAAAATAAAACAAGTGCGTTTTTACAATTTGCAATTCGCCTAATGAATACGTCACAGCGCCATGTTGTATTCCTGCGCTGATTGCAGGCACGAGAAATCTGCCAACCCGTTTATTTTCCGGGATTAGTTCCCGAGAATAAATCGAACTGCGATTTTGTACTCAAATATATTTTAATTTATATTTGTTGGCAAATGTCAAACAACTTTAGTGGAATAGATGCATCCCTGTCATCGAATTTTAAGTGCTAATTCCTAAATCCACTGCATTTTTGTGCATCCGCGAAAGTTGAAAGGACTGTGTTGTAAAAGAAAGAAGTGACAATTAGCCAAAATTCCGGTCCCTACGCGCAGACGAGAAGGTGCCTACCCGCCGGGGCAGTCAGGCGAAGGAGAAATGAACAGTAACAAGCGTAAAAACCGCCAAGGGCCGCCGAGGTAACTACCATTTACCATCATCTTTAACTATTGAGCTGACATGTCTTTGTTGTTGGGGCTAGTGTCCGCTGAGAGCCTAGTAGCAAACATTTTGTTGTCACGTTGACAGATTTTAGGAGGTTGTTAAGCATGGATACTCTGACAGTGTAAACAAAAATGAGATTGTGCGGTGTTGTGTGGTGTAAGATCGGCGCGTGCGATGCGGCGCGTCGCGGCGCTCTAGTCTAGATGTTTGGCCTACTTTTGCTCCGTACTCGATACGATTAATATAGCCGTCTGATCAGCTGTTGGCGATCCCAGTACGCTACGCTCGCAAACCGTACTAATTATGATCTACAATTTACTATCTAAGCTCAATATTGGAAACTATCACTTTCATGCGGGATTTTTCTGAAATATCCAACATCTTGTGTGGAGCCTGTGTTAGGAGAGGCATTCTATAACATTCTGTGATAGGAAATAAGGTAAATGCTTTTATTTTCAATCACTTTCTCTAGTTTGTACAATGGTGGATATAATTACTGGCAAAAGTCCAAAGTTCTTAATTAGAATTCTCTTAATGCTGTTAATTTGTGTTTGAAGTTAGTGTATCATACGAATTGTAACTGTGACTGATAAATTTTCATGAGGTGAAGATTATGTATGTGTGAATCTTGTAAGTAGTTGTATGTAAAATACTCAATGTTTGGGCGTTGAGTTTTATGATAACTCGCAGTATACTTTTGTATGGTTACAGTTGCATTAAACACATGTGTGAAGAAGATTAGCAAAGCTGATATGTCCATGATTCTCATTGTGATAAATATTGTTTTTAAAGAGTTAGTAGTAATACTAGATCATTGCATAGAATCATCACAATAACCAATCCCTTTCAATTGCCTTATGTGGGAAGTTAAATGGATGATTCACAATAGTTTTCTTTTATCAATGAACTTAAATTGCACGGTCAATATAAGTTTGATGAGGTAATGACAGTGGTTCATGGTGTGTTCTGGATAACATGTGTTGAGTGTTATGCCTAACTAGTAGTAACTAATTATCAATGTTGTTTTCTAATTACAAAGAAATATTTCATATCACAAAGTAAATAAAAGTGTTTTTCGGCGATGCATGGTCTCTTCTGATCATTTTACCCAACTTATTCACATGTGTTTTCACATCGGACAATAAATAATAATAGAAGGCTTCCAAGACTAGATGTGCATGCATGAAAAGATTAATGAGTGTTTATGAAGCGAAAGACGTACCTATGTAGGAATTGTAGCCATTACCTATGAAGTTATGTATCTATGTATAAGGCTTCCAAAGAAATCTTTTTAATCCTTAAACTGTCAAACACCAAGCGGTCACCGGTGACCGCAACCTATTGTTCTATAATTGTGTCTACAAAACCGGTACTCAACGAGTTAATACTGCTGCCACTATCACAATGTTATATCTCAAATCTATACATAATTCAGATATTACAAGTCATTGTTGTCTAGCCTGAAAATTAAAACAATTGTTTTTATCTGTAGTAGCTTTGCAGTCTATGGTAACAATTTTTATGCATTGCAATGCTGACTTTCTAAGAAAATATGGTGATTTGCAACACAAATGAGTTGAAATGAGATGGGTTTTCCATATTTGATGAAGTTTTTTTGTTTATTGGATACATCCTGGTGTTGATCGTATGATTAAAATTTATAATGATCAGTTCCTACATTCTGAGAAATGATGCTAGGACTTTTCTATGATACTACATAAAAACATGGAACATTTAGATGTTACGCAAAAGCTTTGACATTTGTTCACTATCAACTTTATGATAATTGAATACTGATTCAGCAATTTTCTCTTTAATATACTTAGTTCCTTCATAGTGTCAGTACCTGTCATGGGAATTCATCATTTTTATCATAATGTACACACAACACTAAAGATCCATTTATCAAGGAATTTTGACCTATTCTTGAAGCCCCACCGAATATAACTCGAGAAATGACATAGAGGAATATTAACATGAAAAAACTTTAAATGTTGTTCTAGAATGTACCACAATTTTAAGAGTAATAGTGAGAGGTATCACTAAGGCATAGACATTTATCAATTGAAGACATGTTGAGGGAACTATGTAGGTTACATGATGCAGTGGTCATGTCTGATAAGATAACACTGATTTTAATGTACAAAGTTTTCTAAATATTGTCCATGATTGAATACTGGCTTAAAATATTTTCTTTTATCAATATATGTTAGATTCTCAATATATATTTGTATTATAACTTTCGTGAGACATACTAAATAAATTGTCTGTCGCCCTGCTAGTCCTACAGTCGCCGTGTCGCGGGTGCGAAATGCTGCTCATGAACATGAGCCTCTAGCATGGCTGGAAACTAGTCTAGTTCCTCGTCAAATAATTGAATAATGAGTAAGCCGAAAACATAATTTACTTCTCAACATATTATATACACTAACGTAACTGCAAGAAGAGTGTTTCTTAATTACCTTTGCCTAGACTTTAGAGGATTAAGAAATAAAAAGTGTGATGTTATGTTAAATGTTACAAGTTTAAAAAAAATATTTTACTGTTTTTAATACTAACTTAGAACTATTAATCAGTTTCCAAGATTCATTATTTGTTTTGGCAATTTCCAAGTTTAGGTTAAAAATATAAACAAAGATTTATATTAGGAAAAGTACATATTGATAACATTTGTAGGTACATTATTTTTTGAGATAACATGTTTCTGATCCATCTTTGTGTGAGCAAATATTATTTAATCGGATTGAAAATTTTAATATTAAGTTGGAATATAAAAATATTAGAATGATTGTTATATTTTCCTGCATATGTGTCATAACTTTGCAATATCTGACAATCTGATATTTTTTATAGTCTCATCAATCCTTGTTACTTACGTGCTTGCAAGCACAATTCATTTTGGATTCGGTTTCCAAGTTGAACTAAGGGATTTCTTAAAACTGAGTAGTTTCACGCTCAAACCTCTTAACATATTAGGACTGATTATTACATTGATTATGTACATATCTCTGCCTATACCTTCAGGTCTTGAAGTACTGTATTAAAAGTACTAAGTACTTGCAGAACTATTTGTCTACCAAAATCATAACATTAAAAACAAACAAACATCATTAGTTATCAATACTTGATGAGGCTTGTCATTTTTGTCATACTAATATTTCATAATCATTGGCCCAAACTATTACTAATTACTTATTTAAACAAATAGCACCCATTATTCTAATGGTTTGTTGGTTGAGATAACATATCTATTGATCACAAGTCTTTAAGCACTGTATTAGGACAAAATTCTTAATTTTAAGTCTCGGTTACATTTTTAATCCTAATACAACTACTATAGTCCTTGTTGGTTGCCACTGTCTGAATTGTATATTGCACACGGAATCTCATAAATGCTATAAATTAATGTCATATTGCTTAGGAACGTGGTAATATGCTTACCTGCTATTACATGAGAATCGCAACAAGCAATGAAAAGCAGGTGTCATATTTTATATGTGCTCCCTATCTATCTTTTTACGATAACTAAAAGCATTATGTTCTTGTTCTAAGGAATAAATTACTGTTGTGCTTGTGTAAAATACCTAATTGTGAGTATACAAATAGTAATTCAAACAAAATATTCACAAGTCATTGTATAGAAAGCACCAGTTGTCTTATCAATGTAATAAAGAAGATTATGAATGACCTGTCATTCAAAACACTCAACCCAAACATATTTTGACAAACCCTTGTGCTTTTACACAGTTTCTGTATAAAAACTTAGGAGCAAATAAACAGAGCCACTAAAGTTTTTTTATATTATCGAACAATCTATATTTAAAAAAAAACCTTTTACAACAGAATGGTCTCATTTTAACTCGTTGAGTACCGGTTTTGTAGACACAATTATAGAACAATAGGTTGCGGTCACCGGTGACCGCTTGGTGTTTGACAGTTTAAAGGTAACTAAAACCTACCCAATAAAATATTTGTATCAGAAAATATGCATCAAGAAATGGAAAAGAAATAACAATAGTGGCTCTGTTTCTTTGCTCCCATGTGTATTTTGACAAACCCTTCAGTTTTTACACGATTTCTTCATGTTAGTTTACTTTTAAAGATTATGTGTATGTGTATGGATTATTTAATGTCAGTGTTTATTTATGTGTCTGTGAGAATATGTGTGTTTGACACACAAGTTAATATGTATCAGTATTATATGGTGTCAATGAACCTTACACACATATGTACAGATAGAAGATTATAGTGTGTGTAATTTTCACCAATTGTAATGATGTTTGATAAAGTTTTTCCAAATCTGTTCATTCATATCGCTGTGCACCTTTATGGCCTTATAGTAAAAGTCTTTATAATCATTTTTTGTTGACATAAAGCGCTACATTGTAGCGTTTTTGTGAAATTAGTAATGTAAATGCTTCCTCACAGATATTAATTTTATTTATTTATTTACTAGTTTATGGACACATACAATACACATAATACACAGGAAAATATATATGACAAAACAAGGGTACATAGGTACTGCATATCCCTTATGAGATTTCTTCCTGCAGACTTTATTCTTCTAGTCTTATTATAAAAAAAATATTTTTAAGAATTTGAAGGTCGTATAAAATTGACGTGAAGACAGCCTGATAACAGTACTTGGTAATTACATCTTAAACCATGAATTCCTTTTGTCTCTGATTGTGGTTGATTACATATTCTAGCATTTGATTTTAAATGGTACTTGTGCATGTAATGATGTTTAACTGACTTCAAAAAAGATTGAGGTTCTATGTCTGACCTGTATATTTGTCCGCAATCTTCTCGCGATTGCCCGAACTGATTTTGATGCGGTTTTCAAGTGTTTGTTTTAAGAGCAGGTTTTGATAGAGATTGAAGTCGATTTTTTAAAATGTAGTTTATGGAAAGTATTACATAATTAACCGATATGGTTGTATGACCAAGTAAGGGTAAAAACTCAACATTAAAATATTATAAACCTTGGTTTAACCCTTTCGAAATTTATTGATGATTTTGATATTATAATGACCATGTCTGACTAATAGTATGGTTTTCCCTGAATTCAGATTATTCATCGATCCTTAACAGAACATGTAATAATAATAATTATCTCTGTAAATGTTATATTATTCTTCATTTGATAATTAATAATAATATGTAAATTAAATACATTATTATGGTATGAATGAACATTATCAGTTATCTCATTTATCCAGTAGTAGGGTTTATGTATGCTAACATAATTATATAAATAAATATACCTAACAGTTAATTAATGTTAACATTTACAAGTAACTAGATAAACATTTTTGCCTGTCATGTGATTCAACAAAATCCCTGTAAGGTGTATACATAATATAACTAAACTAAAGAAAAGTGTTACTTACGTCCTTAGCTAGCTTCTGCCAGGGGCTTCGCCCGTTTGTCTGTGGAATAAAAAGCCTACATGTCATTTAGAATTCCAGACCATAATCTAGCCCTGTTCCTACTTTCATGTCGATCCCTTCAGCCGTTCTGACGTGAAGAAGTCATAAACATACAAAATTTTAGTTATTTTAAGCTTGTAACGCCAAACACCTAGAATACTTAACACAAGTGGTCTCAGAAGTCTTATTGCCATAAGAAGCTTATTTATTCATCGTCTTTCTTTCCATATCCTAAATTACTTGGGGTTAGTCCAATACTTGTCGTCTTCTTCCATTCTTCTCTATCACGCGCCATCACATCACAAACGACAAAAGCGCCATTGTTTTTTACGCCATTTTAACCCAATCACTTCATGGGTCCTTCTGGAATTAAGTCTTGAATCCATTTACGACCGAATACTGAATTTTAAGCTGTAAGTACTTAAATATCATGCCATCTCTGTCATTTTACAAATAATTTGTTGTGACAGAACTATAGTTAACCGAAACTTACAATTTAGTAGTCTTTCAGCATTCGGGCAATAGACTGCTGTAACGTCTTATTATATTTTCTTACGTAAATTAAAGTTTAAAAGTTTCTTAGTTACAGCATGACGATAATCTAATTGTTTCCATGCTAAACAATGGTGGATCGCGGATAGATATAGTACTTGTTATAGGTCAAGGGTAGACAGAAGTGCTGGTGGCATACTTTATTTACAATGTCATGTACCTAATTCATTAATATTCACGTCCTTATATAACTTTATACATATTGTTAAATATTTTATATACCTACGACCCTACGTCTAGTTTATGGAATTTTGTGTTAAAATTGTGTGAAACTTCATAATTTTTAATTTATTTTCCAGGTATAATATAATAAACCAATTAGATAATAAAGGTTTAGTGCCTAAATTATTATATTATTCAATATTTGTTATTAATCTGAATATATCTAGGCACTAGTTGGTATCAAAATTAGGGCTGAAATTCTAGTTATAGAACAGATATTTTACCATTTTGGGGCACTGGCTCTCTTTTGATCAGCAGATGTCCTTCCGACAAAATATAGTATGCAATCAAAATCCTATTCCACTCGTCACACATCCAGGATATTGTCCCAAGGTTTCAAAATTCACTGAAGTTTTGCACATAACTGTCATCCTTGACCTTCAGACTACAATAAAACCTTATTTGTGCGACTAGCCAATGCCAAACCGGGTTTTAGTTTTACACATCCATTATATCAGATTTCCTAAGTTCCCCATTTTGGTAGTGATATTAACTAAACGTGAGGTCTAAGTAGCTTGAATAAACAATATTATGTATTACATTGTAGCTTGAATCTTGGCTGTCAAAGTTTATTAATCTTACTCCGTTGATATTATAAATGCGGAAGTTTAAAGTTTTTGTGTATGGTTGTCACTCAATTACGTTAAAATGACTGAAGAGATCGGGATGAAATTCAGAACAACAGTAGATTATGGTCTGGGATAACACATAGGTTACTTTGTATAAGAAACTGCTATCAGAAACGAATAAAACATACAAACGAATTGAAAACCTTTAAAAGACATTTACATGAGTATATAAATGAGGTATGTAGGAATCGTAGCAATTGGCGTTTCATAGTATCTGCTAACCCCCGTGGGAGATGGTATGAAGTTATGGAGATGATTGAATGAATAAATGAATTTGAAAAGGTTTATGACACAGAAAAACTGTCTAGAAGTTAATAGTAAATGCCTAGATCTAGTAGTGGATGCCTTGTGGTTGATATGACAAAACCGTATCAATCATGATATTATTCGTAGGCTAAATTCCTAATTCGTAGGCTAAAGACCTATCTCATGCATATCAAACCTCCATTAACACAGGTGTTTATTATCAGGATTCTCTCGTAATCAATAAGCAAAAGACCTATACATACATATATTTAGCATGTTTACACAAAAATATACTACTACTTAGCTACGTGTTTGGTTGTGCCTGGCTCGGTACGACACCCAGCACTTGATATCATAATCAATACTGATTCATATCTATCCATCATGCTTCAGAGACGAAAACACTGTCGTATTTTGTACCTGACATACCTTTTTTGTGACTTAAAGGCAGTTACGTAGATTTTATGTTACTGGCTCCCAAAAGGAGACATGACTCGAATTTGGCACTTTTTGATTAACTAATTTCGACTTGTAAAAGAGTCATCACATTTGTGGAGGTTCCTCTACCAATTTGATGACATTAAAACTGGTGATGGTGATTTAATGATCAGGAAACCATGCTTTTAGTTTCGGAAATTTTGAAATGGAAGTGCGCGTGAAATAATGTGTGTCTCAAACTAGATTCTGTCTAATAATTACAAAAACAAACAGATAAGTTTCTGCAGGTCATGCAAACATTTTGTTCTACAATACAAAAGTTTTAGTAACAATAATGAACTGATCAACTGAACATAGTATTGTATCATAGAACGTTTCTTGAGAAAGTTGTATTTATAAACACTATAAGACACAGCTGAACAGTGAAAGTCAACGCAGAAACGATAAATTGTTCCATGTTATTATTTGTCGGATAGTCTAGATAACGTTACGTGACCAATATTATTTATCTTTAATAATACTAAATTCGTTTCTTCGTTCATATTTCGTAGCATCCAAAGCCTTTCCTCAAATGAATCAGAACTTAAAATCATATTACTAAAACCGCAGAATATTGTAAATACCTGTCTGCTTTGATTGCAAAAAATAACATTCTGTTTCCTGGCTTTAGGAACTAGGTTAGAATATATTATTATAACAATTGTAGCCGACAGGTTTACGTGCTTTCCAAGGACGGAACGGATGTGATATGAATGATGATCCATTCACAAACAGTCGTTACTTAGCCACAAAACTTTGTTAAACATCAATATTTTTAAATTATGTTCGGAATTATCGTAAACCGGTCTCCTCGGATGCGACTATGTGAAAATTGTAATAAAAACTAGATCTTATACATTTTAAAGCGATTTTTAACTGTAAATTAACTAAACATCTAATCGGTTGTCCTATCTAGTTTTAACAGAATTAGTCTGCGCAACTTTCTTTAGCTAAAATAATGAGGTTAATCATGTCTAAACAACGCGTTACACCTATACGTTGGCGCCATTTTCCCAGTTAATTTATAACTCAAGTGGGATGATGTAACCGTTTTTGAGACGAGTAACGAACCTGATGCGAAAAGACTGCGCGCCGAAAAAACTCAAGGGCGGCGGTTTTCGTTTAGGTCAGTGACCGACTAGTGAATGTTACTGAAATCACATGATTCGTAGCACGCTAGATACTGGTTTTCTGACTATATTATGTTGATAATATATACATTGTATGGTGATTTTGTCTCTCAATCTTAAAAGGAATGCGCACATCAAAATATTTACGGTACCTGTCCTTCTAGACATAACACTACCAAAGAACTATCATTAGAACTAAGAACGGAATCGAAAACCGTAAATAAATGCAGTCTTTCCCCTTTTATGGGTTGACCATAATCCCTACTCTTGATGGACCGTTTGGGGATTGCAGTTAGAACATTTAGAACGTCAAGTTTAAGACGCTGCTCGGCTCTCGGTAGCTGGTACTAGTTGAGAAGTTTCTTCTAAGTTACGTGCATAGGATTATTAACATTGAATTTTTTTGTATCAGGTCACCACGAGGGCGCGTGGTGCCAGAAGGCGTCTACAATAACGCGCACTTCATGCACGCAGCGACGTCGCACGTCGGCGACATCGTGCAGGTGCTCACCCAATCAGGAAGCCTCTGGGAAGGCGTCTTCAAAACATTTAGCGCTCAATTTGAGGTAAGTTAAAGTAATTTTTGTTAATCCATATACAGGCACATCAGAATACGGTCTGCGGCTTGGTACATACCCCACAGAGTGACTTAGATATTGGTTAGAGCCGTGAATGGGCAGGGATCTGTTGCACGTGTCTGGAGACCATATTCTTGCATGCAACATATTGTTCCTTGTCTGTGTGTAACGTCAATATGGAATTTCACTGTCGTGTTTGGATATTTCCATTTCGGGTATTCCCGACACGTGGGAGAAAATTCTAGTGTGTAATAAATTTATCCATCAGATTCTGTAACATGGATCAAAGCTAAAAAAAATCCACCTAATACTACATTTCCAGACACTTAAAATCTTATTCTTTAGATATTCTGCAGGATTTTAGATTACCTTAAATCTGTAAGATCTGTTTAGGACAGATTCCTATTTTCATCATTTTCCTTTTATCGAATTCCATTGCTTTCTTGGCCTACAGATAAAAGTATGAATTTCTAAGAATCTCCTATTTTGTATCAAAAAGATTGAGGAAAGAAACTTTTGAAAATATATAACTTTTCTCCATCTGTTAATAAGGAAAATTTATTTTCTTTCTAAAAGTATTTGCTACGTAAATATAGACTTATGTAATTTGTTATTACGGAGTTTTTTGGTAACAAGACTAAACTGGTAAGTCCTGTAATACGCTAACTTTTTGCCAAGAATTATAACAGCGAGCTTACAGTCACACATAATACCCCTATTTCATTAAGACACAATGGTCGTCTACCAGGTCGCGCATTTTATTTGCTGTCTACTTGGTTGCACAACCAAGTGATTGTTCGCAGCCGAATCACCCCGGTAATCACGCAACCGCTTATTAGCAACAATAATTAAAACTATATGACCCCGCATTCGCACCCCATTCACTCTACAACCAGTTGCAGGACCAGGGATGAATAAAGTTCCTTTTAAGTTGTACGTAACAAGAGATCTGATCGACTGCTAACCCTGATAATTGTTTTGATGTCTCTCGCATGGTTACTCCAGGCACCACGGATGCACAACTGGTATTATGACCATAGTATCCCAAAAGAATAAAGACTAAAATAAGGCCCACAAGAAACAACACTGGTCAACAATATGCCTTGGCTCTCCATCTCATTGTCATGCACCTAAACAGCTGCAGCTTCCAAAATTGCAAGATAATAATGTCATTTATTCATGTCTGGTTTAGCATCTGTATAGATTTCAGAGGGTCATCAAAACACTCCCCTTTTGACCTTCGCGGAATACGTTAAGCCGGTTTAATCCTCGTTTATGGGGTCTCCAAATGTTGGTTCCTGTTTAATAAATTATGGAGTTTAACCGGATAAATATCACTCGGTAATGTGTAGTAGAACTTTCATAATTCGTGCGTGTTTGTTTACACGTTTGGCCATAATTAATTGCTTGTTCGGGGTTTTTCATTTGAAATGTATTTTGATCATGAGTATTTTTTGTGTCTTTGAATTTTATCAATGATAACCAAAAAGAAAAGAATATGTAAGTGAAACAAATGAGCTAGACTTCATAAAACAAAACTATTTCCGTTCTATGAATAGACAAGATTCTTAACTTATCTATAGTCTACGTTATTGTCACGCATAAGCTGAATACCGTTGATTTTATAAGTCATACATAGGTATTTAAAATGACACTACTATATTTTTTTATCGTAAAATCAAATTAAATGCTTCAAAACGACGGCTTGTTAAGCAACTGCTTTAAAAATAAACTCTAATTACACTGTTTTAAAGACAATTTTATCTCTAGAAAATTAATGGTGAAAATAATTTAGTAGTAGGTATGTGCCCTAGCCAGTACCTACCTAATTAATATATAAATAAGTCAGTGTCGCTTTGGTTACATTAAAATACAATTAAATGACGATTACGTTTCTTTGAATGACATAATTAGGTTTGGTGCGGTATTGTAATCACCTTAGTCTTTGATTTATTTGTTTTTTCACCGTATTTATAGTACTCGCCCTTTAGTCTATTTGGCGTGTCGCTAGTCTGGTAGATGGATTGAAAGATTCTTCATTATTCTTCAACAGAAATGTTTTTTTTTTTTTCTAATCACTGAGTCAACGCAAAGTTAAAGAGTCCATAGTTATCTTTTCTTATTCTCTCTTTTCTGCCTCAATATTCTTCTTCTTGTTCCTTGTCCTAAGCTAATTGGGGTCGGAACAATGTGGTGTCTTTTATGCACCCGTTCTCCTCATCCGACAGACGTGATCCTTTTACAAATTCCTTTTTCTGTCACATTCTCTCACATAATCTTGGATACTCAGATCTTTTCTTACTTTAGTCGTCCTCTTTTTATTCATAACATAACATCACGCCTTTTATCCCCGAAGGGGTAGGCGCAGGTGTACATTATGTCACTGTACAATGTAACATCCACTTTTCACTATTTATGTTATGAGTCCCATGTAATAGGGGGTGAGCCTATTGCCATATACCGGGCACAATTCCAGACTCCGTGCTACTACTATGATTTTTTTGAAAAATCCAGTATATGTCCAACCCGGGACTCGAACCCACGACCCCTTGCCCGGCAGTCGCACTTGCGACCACTCAGCCAATGAGGCAGTCTTTTTATTCACTTTTCAAATCTTGATGACTTCACTAAATATTAACTTTGATTATAATTATTTGTTCCCAACTACTAATTATATTGTGACGTCTAAATTATGTTACTCTACCTATAATATCAATTACGTGAGCACAAACCTATGCAAATAATCGCCATAAATTAATCAATAATTACCAATTCTCTTTTTGTTTCCATTTAATTAATGTGCGTGTAAAATCTTACGCATTTCAATGTTGAAACGTAATTTTAACGTCACTTGGAAAAATTGATAAATGAGCGAAATATCTGGTTGCGTGGAACACTCGCTTTTAGAATAGTACGGTAATGGTATATGTGAACTATTGTCGGCATACATGCCATTTTAAATACACCAAGCTAATTGCCGTTTATTTTAGTATACTTATAGTAAACTTTTTTTATATTTCCTTCAGGTAGCTGTTGCTAGGTAATTACAGACATATGGCTATTTTTGTAACGGTTTTTGTCTCAAATGTAGTTATGCGAACCTTTTTTCAATTCTATTTAGATATTGTATTGTACTTGGGACATAATGGTCTAGTCTGTTACAAATATCAGGCAACAAAGTTGCACTTGAAGCCTGCAAGGGCCGGGCGGCGGCGCTGCCATGTTATTATATAACCATAAATAATATAGTAGGAACGACCCCGTAGCGGGCTGACGTAAATGTGCATAGATTCATCCTCAGTCTCACCGCGCCCTCTACGCGATCGCCTGCCAGCGCCGGCAAACGTCGAAACTAGAGCTTAACATCGCACAAAAGCTTAAACTTGCTATTACATAATCAATATTTATGACTGTAGTCGCACAAATTCACATATTAGTAACATGCATCGAAAATAGGCTAAGTTCCAATCGAAGGCTGATAAGGCCACGGAATTTACGTCCGACTACAGATCTTGTATATTCGAACCAATGCAGTGCTGATAACCTATATTAAATACAAGCTCGCATACCATATGTTTTAGCGATTGTTTTGCATATTGCGATATACATTAACATTTAACAAATTACGTAACAACCGATTCATTTAATTTTATTGTCAATTTTGAGTGCGAAATAAAATGCATCCTAGTAACACAGCAGTTTTGTGTTATCTGCGCTTGGCGTGACCCCCACGAAACTATGAAATGTAGGTCGAATCAATAAACGCATTGTAGCGTGCTTTTGGACATTTTAAAAAAGTATTTTAATGTTGGTATCACCTGCGTGAAGTGTCAAGTGGTTACTGTGATGCTGTCTCTCACGGGGATATAAAATATTCTGAAGTGGTTGTGTTGTGACAATTTTCCAATCGCGTAGTGGTTCATTGGATTTGTAAGACAAAGGACATGTATCGGCTGAATACAGTCAGTTCCTTGAACTTGAGTGTAGTAATTTGTGAAAAGTGCAGTGTAGTATCGAGTTAGTTGAATTATCAGATCATCTCAGACAGCCTTCACCCCCGCGCAGTGGACATGCGCGGTAAACCACCTGATTTTTACCTTCCATTTTGTAATTTATTACATTGCTATTTGATTGCAAATGAAAAAGAAAACTTTGCGCATGTCTCGACTTGAGATAAGCACGAAGTTTGTTGACAAATTATCTTAATTACTAAAAACATATTTTAAGTAAATATTTTAGAGAGAAATAATTTTCTGTCATAGTTGGACAATTTAAATTACGCTAGACATTTTGATGAATGTCTGTCTCGTGTGGCATGGGCGCGGATTCGCAGTTGAGTAAGTGAATAGATGGCGCTGTCTGTCTCGATTCCCAGGGCGCTCCGGTTAGGGCTCAGTTAGTGTTCCTGTGTCATTTAGTTTAATAGTGATCAATAAATGAAAGAAATATCGTGTGATGTCGGATAACATCCCGTTGTGAGTGTTAAAACATCGTCATCAATTGTGCTGACATCCGGCGTCGTTTAATAATGCAGCTGGGTAAGATTTTGATTGGTGTATTGTGTTGTAGTTTACGAATGAAGTTACGTTGCAGCCATGATGCTGTAGAGATAGAACTAGACGTTTGTGAACGTAGATATCTTATCTATTTGTGTTTATTTGCATGATTTCCACGTTTTTGATGTCAATTTCGTGTCTTAAGCAACCCACCCTTGTGAATAACGGGATCTTTAATGTTTTTTAAATGATATACTGTCCTTTTTATTAAGACTTTCAGGTCAAAATAGAATATCGAATTACCTTTATCTAGTTCTTTGATCAGGTTTTATAAGTACTTAAAATTACGCTGTGTCCAAGCTCGACTCAGTAATAAAACACTGAAAGTAGCCCCTTGTTTGATGTATCAAATTAAATGGCACTCTAATTGGGAGTACTGAATGAAAGGGCTCGCTAAACCCTAGATTTGCTTCAGCCCTCTAATTTGAAATA